TTTTAAGTGGCTCCATTCTCACATTTAAAAATTTGTAACAATTTTCCTAAGAAACCTTTTGGAATTTACTTATGGCATGCAAAAGTACTGCTTCTGAGGTATTAAAAAAATTGTTAAGACCTGATTAATTTGTAAGGGATAGTTATATGTATGGCTTTGAGGACCTTACTTTTGTTGAATTCTGAGCTACCGGAAGGTCTCCTTGCCCTCCCCAAAACCCCCAAGTTAATGGAATAAATTACAAAGGGGAAATACAAACATAAAGATACTCTGAAAGTGCTTAAAATCACAGTATTCACTATGTTTGAAATAAAAATTGACCTAGACTTAATGCTTAGTTGTCATGGTTCACCAAAAAGGGATAGTTGCCAAATGCAGTGGTTGAAATATACTTGTTTTGGTTTTGAGCAACATAAAAATAAGAATCGAAACTTGTGGTATCATAATATTCTCAAGTATTATGACTTTTTAGACAGTTAATTCCCTCTAATGAAACTTGGTGACCTTTTTATCTTAGGAAGGAAAACAGATTTGCTTTAATGATCCCTTGAAGGTCTACTTGATTTTATTCCTACCATTCCAATAATTGTATTAGAAAAATCTCTGTATCATATAATTCTGACTTCAAAAGTAAGCAAAGAAATAATTAGAGTCTATCTTCTGGATAAATTTTGAGGAGATTGGGTCATTATACGTTTTCATAATGTTTATAAGCTTAGAATAGCATCAGCTCTTTAAGCACAGCAAAATTAGCTTGCAGTTATATTAGCTTGCTGTACACCCTTGGACAAGTCACTTCAAGCATTAGTTTCCTTATGATAAGGGACCTAATGCTTTCGGTGTGAATACCAACTCTAAATATTACAGAAACGTTCCTGCCTACTTATTTGAGGTCGCTTACGAATCATATGAGATAAGGGGCTCTGTATAACTAAAATACATGAATAGTAATTGGTAAGGAGATGCTATGTAATAATAACCCTATTATAAATTTTATCCCATTTACAATGGTTTGCCTTTTAATATTGCATAGCTTATAATGCATCTAGCTGGTAAAATCATATGAAATTAATTAAAATGGCTTAATGTGGAAAAAAAATTTATATGGAACATAAAAATCTAAATAAGCTGCATGAGAAAACTTATTGGAACTTCTTGAAAGTTTCTTTTTGTTACTAGACTATTAAGTGATATCAAATGTTTTTGAAAGCTGATACTTTTTAAAAAGCTTGTCTGGTTTTCAAAACAATATAGTCTCCCCTTGGTTACTGGGAGGATTGGTTCCAGGACCCCCCACAGATATAAAAATCCACAGATGCGTAAATCCTTTACATAATCTACTCACATCCTTCTGTATAATTTAATTATCTCTAAATTTCTTATTATATCTAATACAATGTAAGTGCTGTGTAAATAATTGTTATACTATATTGCTTAGGGAATAATGAGAAAAAAGTCCATACATGTTTAGTACAGACACAATTATCACTGGCCTAACTACATCGTACATATCAGCAACAATGTAACTTTTTTTCATCCATGGATGTAGAATCCCAGATACAGAGGAGCAACTGAACATAGGCAGTGTATACTGTATAACATTGGTTTGGCATAGTTATGTTAGGAACTTTAGGGAATACAGAGGTAAGGTAAAGTAGACAGATGCTCCCATAAAGAGCTTATGTCTGAGTGGAAGAAATAGGAGATGAACATAAAATAGGATTCTATCGTGCCCTCTAACTGGTTCCTTTCCCAGTTTTCTCCGTTGGATAAAATGGCACCTTCATGTACACATTGCTTTAGCCATAAGTTAACCTTGAGTTTTCCCTCTTCTGAGCTCCTCATATCCAGTCTATCAATAAGTTCCACAAATTATTCCATGGAAATATAATCTTACTTTAATCTACTTCATCTCATTATTATCACCTCGAGTCTCGGTCACCATTACTCTAG